AAAGAGTAAAGAAGTGAAAAAAAAAAGCCCCAACAAACAACAGGTGTCTGGTCTTTCTCCAAGCCTATTTATAGAGTGTATTTTGGAGTAGGTTGCTATCTTGAAAAATAGCACTCCAGGTGATTCCATAGACTGCTTCTATTTTAGATACAATGTTGTTGTAATTAAGAGCATGGAGTTTAGGTTAGGATGGTAAGTATCCTTGTTCTGTTACTTCATTTTTTCTTCATTTATGCAATGGTGATGGTATATGCTTCATACCATGGTAATATGCCACATACTTCATCACATGGTACTTGAAAACTCCCTAGTGGATGTTAATAAGAAATGGAACTGATTTTTTTCTTTTAGTATACAATTTTAAATTGGCTTGTCAGGTGTTTCCTGCCTGGAAAAAAATAAATCAAGAAGCAGTTTGTGTATTATTTTATACTCATTCCTATTTTTTGTACAGAAAAGGGTATGCCTCTTCAATATTTTTGAGTTTCAGTTTTTATAAAGTCTTCTCTCACATTGTATCCCGACCAGTTTCCCCTCCCTCTCCCTCCTGTGTCTCGTTCCTCCCTTCTCCCACAGATTCACACTCCCCCCATCTCCCTTCAGAAAAGAACAGGCCTCCCAGGGATATTAACTGGACATGGCACAACAATCCATAATAATATGCTATAATAAGACCAGGTACATAGCATCACAGCAAGGCTGCATGAGGCAACCCAGTAGGAAGAAAATACCTCTTCAATTTTAATAGTGCTATTTCATACTCCTTTTTTATTCTGCTCTCATATTTCCCCTCCCTCTTCCTTTTGCCTCCCCCACCCACCCACTCTTCCATTTCTCTTCAGAAAAGGAAAGGTTCCCATAGTTATCAACATAACATGGCCCAGGTTAGTTGATCCTGTGAGTTCTCTTGACCACTCTTGCTCCTACAATCCTTTCTCTCTCCCTCGGGATTCCCCAAATGTTTGGCTGTGGGTCTCTTGTATCTGCTCCCAGCAGTTGCTGGATGAAGCCTCTTTGATGACAATTATGTCTATGAGTATAGCAGAATTACATTATCATTCTTAAATATACAGATTTTTTAAAGCAAAAGCGGAAAATTAAAGCTACATTATAGAGGTAAGTGGTGCTTTATTGGGATGTACAATTTTGTATTTTTATGTTAAAAGGTTAAATATACCTACCCTTTCTCCATCTATTGGTAATTAATTATTTGGGCAGAAATCTTATGACAAATTTACTTACAAATGTTACCCAAGGCTAATTCTAGAAAAGTTAAACAAAATACCTATTTTATACTGTATGTGGAGTTTTAGAATAGAAAGTTTTAGAGGGAAAGTGAATTATATTCTATTCCTTTTTAAAGTTTCTGTTCCCAAATAGTCGAGTCAGGACGAGTTGATCTGCTTTTTGCTTTGAAATGCGATTTGTATCGCCCCCCCCCCCCCCCCCCCGTGGATGAGTTCTTACTGAATTCTTCACTCACTTTTCATATTTCTTCGCTACAGGAGAATGTATATCGAGTAACAGAATAGTAGTGGTCCTCCGAAGAAGCTAGACCTTGTCAGTGTTCTCTGATGTCTAATAGGACTACTGCGGAAAAGTGTATTAATGCGAGAATGTTGCTAGGAGACGGGAGAGCCAAAAGCCCAGGCTACTGTGGGGGTTCCACTGGAAATGAAGCTAATTTAAGTGTGTTCTGTATCCGAAGTTGAACCATTAAAATCTGTCCTTGGTGAGCATATGAATTTTAGCACGCAGTGTTTAGCATGACCTGATGTTTTACGAGGATTTGCGAGGAGAATCTTAAGGCATTTCATTTCTTATCATTGGTCTAATCCCTTCTTCACAGCGCAGTTTATTTTCAAGAGGCTGTTGCGCCGCTGCTTTCCCCTCCCACTCCTCCAGTGCGACAGCCTCGGAGCTGATGGAGAGACAGAGAGCACGCAACTGGTAAGTAGCTGAGAAAGCTCTCATAAAATAGTTGTTAAAGCTCCGCTTTCTAAAGCAAGTGACGCATTTTGATGAAACAAGATAGCATAGAACTGTGGAGGAATTTGTCTAGTCCGTAGCACCAAGAAAATAGGTTGCATTCTAAAGATTACATGGTCACTTTCCTAGTTTAAGGCTTGCTTTCTAAATGATGAATGACTCGATAGAAGAAAATAAGAACACATAAAAATAGCAAATTTCGTAAGATGCTCCCCAAAATAAGATTTTTTGAAGGTATTAAAACGTTGTCTCAGCTTTATGATGTTTGAATTAGGCATGATTAAATGATAGTTTTGATTCATTATTCAGGCATTTTTTTGGATTTGGTTTATTTTCTTGCTGTGAGGAGAATATTTTGCATTTTAGGATAAGATAGCGTACTCTACTTGTTTTTAATTAAGAAGATGGTGCGGTGACATGTCTGCGTAGGAAAGGAAATGAAGAGGGCAGACTGTAATAATATTACGACTGGTTGGTTGCTTTGTAGGAGAGATGAATGTGTATTGAATGGGGAAAATTTGGTTGTAGGATGAAAATAATGAAAAAGAAATAACAAATGTTATGACTGTACCTTCATTTGTAAAATCCATTTGCTTTTTGCATGTCATGCTGTACAGTAAAGATAGAATGTTCTCGGTACTTTTTTTTTGAAAAGGAATGTGAGAATGTAGCAAAGATTCCTATGGATACAACATTTTGTTTGTTTTTCAATATCTCTGAAATTGTGTGTACTCTTTTAGGCTGGTTACTGCAAGAAAACAGAAAAAGAGGTGAAGTCGTGTATTTTCTTTCCTTTTTTTTTTTTTTAAATTCAGATTGTTTTTGACACATGACCCAAAGGGAAGGGGAGATGGGCTTTGGAGTTAGATGACAAAACGAAGATCAGAGAGGAATATGAGAATGAAAAAGCTTATTTGAAAGTCTTTGAAGATAAGCCATTCCCCAAACTGAACATGTCTGCTGGGGTCATAGTTTTCAGGGAAAGGGAACCCGCATGATGAAGGTGCAGGGGGAGGGGGGGCATCTGGAGAGCACTGCGGCAAAGGGTGACTGACGCATCCAGGGACATGTGACCATTCTCTGGTGTAGTGAAGAAAAATTTTCAGGACTCCATCTTGTATAAGAAATTCTATACATCCTAACATGCAAATAATGCTGGAATCATGCTGTGGTGGATCATGAGTTAATTTTGTGCAATGTTTCATTGCTATTTATTTAATCCTTGCTTTTTATTGTCTTTGTTCCTAGACTTTCTTTTCTGCAATTTCAGAGCTTTCCTATGTTTATTAAAATATCTCATTATAATGTTGGCTCTCCCTTTATTATAAAAAGACAGTATTGTACAGAACTTGGAAAAATTAAAAGATGACTATAAAGATTATGCACAATGCTATAAGCTTAGCATATTGTCGTCAGTCTCTTTTCTCTCCATATATACAAATATATGCATAGAAATGCATATTTAATACAAAATAATGATCAGATGTGAAGTCTTTATTCTGCTTTATTCATTAAACATATTTTATAAACAATTTCTCATATTTTAAAGTGTCTCACAGGAATGTGTTTCAGGAATACATATTTTTGATCACATGGGAGTGATCACATTCCAAATAATAAATGTATAAATGTGCTTTTTGCTATAATGATTTAAGGAATATATTTCCACATAAATCTTTGTGCACCCTTCTGTTCTTTCCCCTCCAGGAAAAAATTCAGACGTGGATTTCATGGATCAAATGGGTATGAATCAGTCTCAGGTTTCTTCTCTTGTCAAAACATCTTGCTTAATTTGTTTAACATATGTGATTAAAACACTTTCAAGTCATTATTTGCATATTTAGTTTTGTCACTTATGATGGCAATTTTGGGGACACGTTACTGCTTTATCTTTTAAAATATCTATGCCCGTCAGTTTATTTTTACGTTTTCTTTCTTTTTTAAGGTTTTCCTCCACATAACCATTCACGTGTATTTTCTCTGGAAATTTAATCAATTAATTTCTTTTACAATTAACTCTGCAGTCTGTATAGAATTAATTTTAAATGTGTAATATAAAATAGGATCTAATTTTGTGTCTTTTCCAGATAGGTTGCCAATGGTTTCAGCATTGTGAACTGAATAACACAACCTTCTTCCACTGACGTCATGTGTCAACAGCTGTTCTCCCATTAGATAAGGTGTAGCTTTCCAAAGGTCGGCCATTTTCTCTCTACTCAAGATGGTTACATTCCATGATAGTACTTTTACCTTCTTGCTACATCCAGCAAATTGCTAAAGCACTGTGTTTATATTTTTGCTTTTCAAGAATCCTAGTTGTATATAGTTTAGAACAGGTATTTTCTAAACATTATAAACAGGTTATGTATATAATGCATATATGTTATGTGTGTTTGTGTGTATATTTATATGTTAAATAGTTAAAATCTTAATAATTATTTTTTTACAAATTAGAAATTGGGGAGTCCAATGACATAGAATACTGTTCCAGATGGTATTCCTTTTGGATGCTCTTGACATTCCAGTTGTGCGTTTAAAAAGTACTTTAGGGATTAATACTTGTTCTAAGGTTTTTCTGTTCTTCAGGTATTTAGAGAGTTAAAGCTGTGTGGATTCAGTTCCTGCAATTTTCTATAGAGAAATAAGAGGGAAATGTAAGAAATGTATGAGATGAAGAAACGTTTTCAATTATGTTGCTGGCAGTACAATGATCTCAGAATTTAAAGGATGGAGGTAAGTTTTGGTACTTGCTACCACTGTCATTATCTCTTGAGACAGGAAAACATGGCTATGGTCCATTTCTTTTTACTGCAAGTGGAAGGGTCAAGACACAAAACATGGAGGCTTTTAGTAGGAGGTAAGTTAAATAGTAACAGAAGTATTTGACAGTTAAAAAATCACCTGCTGTTCTCTGTTGTACCCTTTACTCTCCAGCACAGCGTTTTCCCCCACCCAGTGACTTCAAAGCACTCGTCTTCTCTGACTTTAGAAGGAAAGGGAGGTAAGTAGCAGCTGCTTTCTTTACCTGCTGTTACTGCAAGGGACTCTTTTGACTCATAGACACAGCTCCAGTCATTTCCTGACTTGCGATATTAGGCTATGATTTGTTTATGACTGAGGCTGGTTTCCCTGGCAACAGGACCTCACCAGAGCATGCGCATTGCCTCATCTGCTGTGGCAGAATGCAGCTGTGGGGCCTAGGGAGGAGTCTTGGGGTCCACAGAGGCTGGAGAGGTATTCCACAGACATGACATCAGGTTTTTCTCCCTAAGCTGAGACTGTTATTGTACACAGAGTATTACATTTAAAACAAATCCTCAGAAGACTTTGAAATTCTCTCTTTTCTCTCCCAGAACAACTGCAGTCAGTAGTTTCACCAGTGACCATGACATTTTCCCAATTATTAAGGTCCCAGATATCCTTGTGTGGCTATAGGAAAGAGACAGCCTGGAATCAAACCTTCATCTCTTTCTTGCCAGTTGCATGACCACAGCACAATTGTAGACTTCCTGGGCCTCAGGTTCTTCAGTTGTGAAATGGGAATAATAACAACACATTTAAGAAAAGTGGTACATATTAACTATTAAAGGTGCTCTTTATTGTTATTTGTAGATGTTAAAGGAAAACTGCTGGAACCAGACTTGTGCCTGCGTGGTACAACTAGCTTATCCTAATGCCCATACTGACCAAATGAGAGACACATTTACCCAGACAGAAGGCAGACACCTCTCGTGTAGCACACAGATGACCTGCAACAGAATGTTGTACTACCCTTGAGGCTCATTAATACATACTACAGTAAATAGATTTGCCCCTTAGTACATACCTTCCATGTCACTGGGCTCTTTTAGATGAAAGCAGGCTCTCTTCCACACAGAGACCAAGCTAATGGACCTTTATCAGCCCCACACGATGATTCTTGTCTCACCATGGACACAGTGCTTGTAACACATAGCAAATCTCAACACTGTAGCTCACCTTTACATCACACGGATCCTGTCAAGAATACATCGTGTATACAGACTTTATTTGTCCAACACAGATTGCTTCCCAAAGCACACAGATTCTCCCCAGAACACATAAGTACTCCACACAGCAAGCCTCTCCCTACAGCAAATCGCCCCATGTGTGCTCCACCAACTGAACTCCTGGCTGGTGAAGTTCATGGGAAACAGACCTCCCTCACATCACATTAACACTTGCAAGACCATGTAGCCTTGTCCACAACACACAGACTCTTGTCACATCATGGAAACCTTCATCATGGAACACAGACTGTCCATACCACAGCAGCATCCCATAATGTACATAGTTTCTCCTTGAACACAGACATACAACACAGCTCCCTTGCCATGACACCAAAATTCACTCAAAGGACAAACTTTCCCTCTGACAAATGGAATGATCTTTGTTATATGGTATTTATCTAACAGGACACAGGCTTATCTCTCATTACACACCCTCCTTATTCTGTGCACATTTACCCCATGAAACGTGTTAAACTTATGGTATAGAGACATTCCCAATAGCCCTGGACCATGCTCACTCTTCCACCACATATCAATACAGTAGTATACCCTGAACCACATAGATCATTCCTTGTTAAACAGAATTTTAATTTAATAACACAGTTGTACTCCAGTGTGCCAATTCATCTCTTGATAAACATACAGTGCAAAGCTGCAGTGCAAATACCTGCCTCATAAGCACTTATTTGCCACACATTACCCAAAATTTCCATGTTTGCAGAATTACCTTCTAAGGTACTTAAGGCCCCTCCCCACCTCCATCACAAAGGTGGTCCACAGTATCCACATTTATCCCACAATACAGGTGTGAAACTGTAAGATGTGAACACACACCTCAGAAGCCCACACTCCATTGCCACAATGCTGAGACTTCTGTAACAATAATGTAGTTTCTATTTCCTCTCATGCAACCACTTCTTCCAGTGGTTCTATCGTCTAGACACATGCCCCCAGGCACACGAAGCCCATGTTTCAGTGACTCTCAGATTTACTACAAAGCACACAGACTGTTTCACTCTTATCTACAAAGCAAAATATACCTAGCATATGCACAGAACTTTACCAGAATGCACAAAATCAATTATTAGTATACATACTTGCCTCATAACTCATATACATTCTTTCAAACAGTGACACTCACCCTAAATGTACAGACAAGCCTTTCAGGCCACAGACTTGCCCTGTAATACACTCAATCATAATATGTGTGTCTTTAAGTTATAGACTTACCCATGAATGCATAGATTTGTTCTACATTGTGCAGTTACATCACAACACTTTATAATGCAAGTAAAAGCCTCCTATCATGTGGACATATATACATAAACCATGTTACAGATATGTACTATAATACATTATGGACATGTGTAACACATATATTAACTCCACTTTGCATAGATTTCCATTGTAGAGGACAGACATGCTTTACCATATCATTGAGCTAAAATTCTGGCCTACAGCAGAGATACAGCTTGGTATCCTTTAAGAGCAAGGCCTCTGGACCCAGGCTTCCTGGCCTTGCCTCCAGAGTCCACCCTTTCCTAATTATATCACCACGGGTAAGTATATTTCTATGTTCTTTGGTTTACTCATCTGCAAGACAAAGGTGACAGTAGTAACTACTTTGAAGGATTATCATGAATAAAAAAACAACCTAAGCTATGTTTAGTATAATAAAGTACCTGCTAGAAACTGTTAGATTTATTCATTTACATTACCATCACCTACCTCCTTCCAACCCTCCATTTTTAATGAAGCTAAGGTGCTCATTTAAAGTATCTAAAATCATCTAATATAGATTTTCCCACAGTACATAGATTAGTTCTGGAACATACAGAAATACTATGCTGCATACAGACAACACTCCATAATACCTTATACCCTACAGAGTACAGATAGCACACTAAACTAGATGCCACTCACAATGTAAACATTTACAATGAAATTAAGAAATGTGGTCTATAATGCATATGCTCACTTCATATGTACACATTTCCTATCACAACACACAGACTGGATCTACAATACCCAGATTCACCCCATATAGCAAAGATCCACATTATACCATATATCTGGTATAACCATAAACTTATATAACCATAAACTTATGTACTGTCTGACATTCATCTCATTATACACAAATATTTATTCCAAAGCATGTGGATTTCCTTGCTATTCACAAACATGTTCTTAAATTCACACTCCTAAGTTTAGAGGATCATATTTGAATGCATAGATTCTTCCTATAGCACATTTACTTTATTTTGTTTGAGTCATAAACAATTGTATGCTTCATACCTCATTGCTTACACATAAATCTGATTTATATGAAAGCATCCCCACACATATGATCACATATCCCATACCTCACAAATTAACTTTTTTAAAAACTTAAAATACACATGTATGGGGATTCTGCCTGCAAGCATGTCCACATACTATATATGTGTCTGCTACCCACACAGGGCAGATGAGAGTTTAAGGTCCCCTGGAACCTGAGCTACAGACATTTCTGAGCTTCCCTTTTGGTGCTGAGAATTGACCCTAGGTCCTCTACAAGAGTGTCAAGTGTTCTTAACTACTAAGTCTTTTCTCCAGCCCGCTCCCCCAAGGGTAGCTTTTTAAGGCTTATTTAACCCCAATCATGCAGAGTTATCCCCCTAAGCAATTATGTTCTTAAATACCTTACATCTGTATGGCAAGGCAGCATCAACACGAAGTCATTTTACACTTTCAGGCTTGCATGTAAGCAACTAGACTCATAAAAAGCAAAGTCATGCTTACAAAAACTCAACCCACTCTTCTCAATGTGGCATAAATCAAAGACGAACCTCAGCTCAAATAAGCGCAAAACAGAGTGCACAAAAAATTTGGTTAGCTGCAGTTAGATCAACTCCCAATTACAAAGCGTGAACTCAGAGCCCCAACTGCCTAGACTGGAATCCCTAACACATCAATGTAAGTTTATGACTTAAGAAAGGTTTTTGGACCACTCTATGCCTTTTCTGACCTATAAATTTAGAATAATAATGATTCCTGTACCTACAGCTGTTAAGAGGAGCAAATGGGTTAGTGCTTCTAAAGTCTCTACAATAGTACCTGGTCTGCTGATATTGCTGTTGTTAACATGCCCTAAACTGGACAATAAAAAGGTAAGATTCAACCAAAACTAACCCTTCTACACATACACTGTCCTCCATGAAGCACACAGTCTAATCACAACCTATGCTTTGACCACTACATCTGTGTTGGCTGCATTTAGCTCACATTTAGATGCACCTATACATGGTGTCTACACAGCATTTATACTCACCACATGACACTTAGATACACTGTGTAGTACACACAATACAGTACAGAAATACAGAAATTCATCCATATAAACTGTTATCTAATTTTTACCAAATGCTCTTACACATGCTCCTATACATACATACATACACACACACACACGTTTGTTATGTATTCTATGCACTCCCAAACCAGTATGCCATATTAGCTCTGTAACACAGATAATTCAGTTTAAAATAATCCACAGCACACAGATTTCTCCAAAGTACAGAAGTCATGGCACAATATAAACCTTACCACAATGAACAGACTAGCTTCATAACTCAGAAAATTAGGGCCTGTCCTACAACACACAAATTCTTCCTAATATTCAGATATACTGTTCTAGTGAAATACTGGCTTGTCTATACAATAGGGTGCATCATGAACACCAGTATATTTACCAAAATACATTAACTATTTCATAATGCATTTATACACAATCCATACATAGAACTATTTCACCTCACCCAGACATTCCTTATATCATAATAACTGAGTTTCAGCTGCCAGACGTATCAAAAAAAAATGGAGTAAGTGCCCCAGAGTCAATAGTATCTCCCTATAGCACACAGATTGGCAGCATAGAATACATTCTTTTTACTGTAACTTTTGTCATAGAAGCACATTCTACACAAGACATAATGCACAGATATGCTCTGTAGTGCGTAAATGTAATGCAGAAGTTCAAGATATGTCATGTAATGATCAAATATTCACATTGTACAGAGTCACATCCCAAATACCAGATTAGCCTGCGAATCAACGAATAAAGTTCACAATACAGAGACATGCTTTGCAATATATGTACACAGAGAAATTTTTACTATCAACACACAGGCTGTATCCACACAATGCCCCCTTACCTCTACAAAATCTAGGTCAGCATCAGAAGAAACAATGGAGAATGTGCAAAGGGACAACAAGGCACAAACATATGCCCCTTCAACCAGAAAATATCCTCACAACACATAAAGAAACCGGACAACACACACAACACTGAAACTTGTAAAATCCAGACTCATGTGAAGCACACAGGCTGATCCTGTCACACCCAGCATTGCCCACTATCACCTGACTCACTAGGTTCACCCCAGAAAACCCTAACAGGCATAGCCTTTAGTTATTCCTAAAACTAGTAGCTTATCTCTGAAAATACCTTATTAACAATGCAAACACCTCCAAGCAATTAGAAGTCTGTATAATTCATGGACACTTTCTACAGTTGCAAGTGCGCTTCACCATATTAAGAGTTGCTGTAACACGGTTATACATGCCCCCATGCAAATAGAATCATTCCGTGAAACCCAGGCTTTTTCTTATATTTCCTGGATTTGTCCTATAATATACATGATCTCCAGACAACATCCACTAGTCTTAAAAGGTAGTCTCATGATGATGTAGCTGACAATGGTTGGGGCTGTAGCTTAGTAGGTAGAATGTATATACACTAGTGTAGTATATACACTAGTATATAATGTCCATAATGTCTTGACTCCCTTCATAATACCCAAAATGAGCAGATGTGCTCCCAGATTGCCAGGTTAATAGCACAATATACAGATTGTCTCACCAATAAAAATATGAGCTCCACAGAACATGTGCATAGTGACAGCAATTAAGTAAGGTCACTCACTCTAAGTAGTGATGATAATGATGATGATGTTAATGATGATGATGGCAAAAATAACAACAACAACAAGACACAGATCTACTCTGCAGTGCCAGACTAGCTCCGAAATATATCCTACATTATCCAGATTGCTTTTAGAGCAGAAGTCTGAAATGCTGAAAAACATTGAGATGAAGCTCTTAACATATATATCACCTCAATTCATCACATACCTTGGCTTACCACACAGGACCTGGACTCCCCCAACTGTTGAGGCCTAGCCTGTTCAGACAGCTCTCACAGCACAATTATGCAGTTGTATTTTCCACAATTGCTATCGTTAATACCTCTCAAGTCTTGCTTAGAAAATCTTGTGGACAACATATCAAAAAAGACTTCAATAATCTTTATATACATACACTGTGTAATATTGCCATCCCCTGTATAAGACTTAAACATATGCAGCAATAGTGTTTATTTACCCTGTAATATTTGTATTTGCCCATGACACCCTTTACACACTACCAATTGAGATACCTTGTACATTGAATCTAACCCAATGAGACTCATACTGCCCCACAAGCCAGACTTTCATTGCTCATGTCCTACAAGGAATGCAGCAAACCAGCCCCCCTAAGATGTCTACATTCAACAAACTTTATTCCAAATTCAGACACTTATCAGACAATGAGAAATTTGACACTTTAACACAAAAGTTTGCCTCATAATAAACAGAAAGGGTTGAAACCAAGCCGAGGAATCTTACAGTATGAAGCTCGACACCGGTACTCCACATTACAGAAACTCCCACAGGAAGCAAGACCCATGCTTGTCCTACAGTATGTAGACATAACAACTACACATTTATATGCCTCAAAGACATATATCTCCATAATGTATTTTGACTTTAAAAATATGTTTGGACCAATATAGCATATAGATGACTACCAGAATGCATAAATACTGAAACATACAAACAAATCCTACACTGCCCAGATATGCTTCACTATTGGTAGGCTTGTTGTAAATTATGAGGACTTTCTCATGTCATTCAGAATTTAGGCATGAACCTGTAGCTTACCCTAAGTCATAAAGACTAAATTGGCACAGCTGGTGAGAGATCAATGGGTAAAGTCACTGCAGAGCCTCATGGCCTGAGTTTGGTCTCTTGAACCTGCAGGGAGAAAGGAGACAACTGACTCCCATAAGTTGCCCTCTGACATCCAACATATACAGTGTGGTATGTGTGTGCCCCTTTCACTAAAATAATTAAATGTTTTGAAAAAGATTAAGTTAGCATCACTCTGACATGGATCCCACATGATGGTATGACCTCAAAACAAGCCATTACGTTTAACTAAACCAATGCCTACCTTTTAAACCACAAACGGTGAACTGCATGCACAAGTCTCACAACAAAGAGATTATCCATGAAACCCAGAATTGCCTTACAACATCCAGACCTATATAGTGACACTCAGATTCATTCAACAACACTGATTACCACATAAAGAAATGAATCAAAATGTGAAGGCATCTTCCAAGATATGTGTTACAATATGGAGTGCAATCCACAACTCATGGACTTTATACAACAGTAACACTTGTCCCATGAAGTGGAAAGATTCTGCACATGAGGCAGTGACATACAAGACACAGATAAACATGAAAACACCCAGACTTTCTATATTACATCCATACTTACCTTTGATAAAATATGTTTCTTTGAAAACACTCACCATGACCTTGGAATATACAGATTAAACTCAAATATCATACCACATGAACATGCTTAAACATATATTCACTCTGCACAGTATGGATTAGCCCCATAGGCTTTTACTGTAATCTACATTCACAAACAACAAGTCATAAGTCTATTACACAGAAGAAAGAGTTGCCCCAACATGCTCCTTTCATATGATTCCCAAATTTTTACTGAACACCTGTACTCAGAAATACATTAAAATTAACCCAATATAACATGAATTTTTCTCCTTTAGTACTAGTCCATAAGTCATATTTATTTCACAATACCTATACACATACATCATAATGGGCAAAAATATCATACCATAAAAACTCAATCACCAAACACCTAACAAAAAGGCCCACATTCAATTACATAATGACACGCCTCATAATAGACAGAATTGACCCAATGTCTAGATCTTTATATAATGTTATTCACATGCTTTGAGACACAAACACGCACAGAGGCATAATTGTGATAAAAAAACTACAGGAACATGCTCATGCCTACATATACAAAAAGTTCTGCTCATCATTAAAACACGTGAATATGCATGTACACATAAATGCTCACAAATCAAGACATTTGGGTATACATACAGAAATGAATAAGCACATATCTGTGACAGAGATGCATAAGCAGATTTCTACACACACCAACAAAGCAATAATGGATTCATGAAGAGATTTCTACATGCATCGTAATACATATCTTTATGGAGTTATATATACATTTATATTGAGCAAGGATTTACATATTGATATACACATCTACAGAAACATTGAACTGCACAAATAGACACACAGACAAAGGGATGCTCTCAAAATGTATGTAGACAAGTATATTTATGTTTATATTTTATAGCAACTCATTCAGACTAATAAGTGTGCTAAGATGCATGGATGTCCAGAAACGGATTTACATAAACCCAGGTATGAACAAAGAGTCATTGTTGTACACCCTATATCTATATATAGAAATGGCACAGAAATATGTACAGAGATGTATAAACAATCTCATAAACTTGCAGAAAGAAATGCACCGGTTTGCAAACACAGTGCTCTATAATCATATATCTATATAAACACAGATATACAGATACACTCAGAAGCAGATTTATCTATGAAGCCTCTGTTCACAGACAAAGAAATATGTGCAACCACATCAAGAGTGCACAACATGGGCACTTTCATGCATAGTTATATGTGTAATGCAGATATTGATGGACAGTTATATCATAGAGGCATGCACAAAACAAATTAACAGACCAAGAAATACATTTTTATAAGCATCCACAATTCCTATACATACTTTGTTCTCACATTTTATGGGCCTACATAGAGACATAAACATTGATATGTATATGCACTAATTTAGTCAGCATTCCACAGATTCATTAATTTCCATGTAAACACATTAGTACTAGCACACAACAAGCTTACATAGACTTGCAGATATTCACATGGACATATATGTACACGATGAGGATAAATATGTAAATAAACACTGAAACATGCATATGAAACAAGTTATTAGATGCAAGTCAAGAGAATTCATGGCAAGAAAGTAAAAGCACACTTATGAATACATATCCTGTGTTTACACAGATGCAGACATGGAAGCTTATATAGTCAGCAAAACAGGTCCACACAAACACAAATACTACATTGAATGCTTAGACATAAAGAGAGATAAATATAAGGAATGCAGACACAGTTCTGTGGCTTTTGTACCCACTTGGATGGAGATGCAACGAGAATTTTACAAACTTGTGCACACAGTACTCTCTAAATGCGCTTGTTTACATAGACATAATTGCAAATGCAAATAGACACTTAGATATCATATATTCTCACAAAATGGCTAGGTAGACAATATCTTAAACATAAAGAGATGTACATACATATTTAAAAATAACAAAACACATAAAATACATTTGCAAACATGTACAGTCTTGTAATTGCACACATGTACATATAGTTCCTTACATGTTAATGAATACATGTGTTGTTGCACATACTCATTCCAGTGGTCTACATACGGTCTCCTAAGCTTTTAATGATGTACAACAAACAGACGAATACACACATAGATAAATCTATGCTAAAATGAGTGTATAGATGCATGCCTTAGTATTTCATGCTACAAATTGAAACAAATCTGCATACACAAGACACATGTGGATTTATATTGTGAAAACATAAATTTCTTTCTTTCTTTCTTTCTTTTGGACAAGGTTTCTCTGTAGCTTTGGTGCCTGTCCTGGAACTAGTTCTTGTAGAACAGGCTGGCCTTGAAATCACAGAGATCCTCCAGCCTCTGCTTTCTGAATCCTGGGATTAAAGATGTTAGCCACCACCACCTGGCTGAAAACATATATTTCTGACCACTTATAAATACACATACAAACACTTTTAAAACTAACTTATGGGTTTTAATGTGTTTTTTGCCATTGTTTTTAGTCTCTTTGAGAGAACAACAATTATCAACCCCTCTAAGTTGACTATACCATTAAATGTAGGTGGGGAAATTACTAGAAACATCTTTAGGACACATGATTGTGCACACACACTTTCATATGTACAGAGTCATAGATATAATTCACATAAAATCATAGAAATAGAAATATATGTAGACATATAAAGAAAAATACACACATAGACATACCTATCCATCACCAAAATATTATACTTTAATACTTAAATGTTAGGTATTGAAATGTAATACAAAATGAATTCTTCATCTTCATCCAAGTTCTGACACTTACTTGCTGAGTGATGTGTGGCTTTTTTTCCCCTGCCTTCCCAACCTGTAACATAGGAGTATCCATAGCACTTACCTTTCAGGATTTTTGAAGAATTTGTATAATGGAACACTTTACATTGAGCTTAGAATATCATGCATTTAGTTAGCACTGCCATTATTTTTGTTGTGTTAGATACAAACTATTTAGCTGCATAGGATTAGATTTTTATAGTGAATTTTTATTTTGTCATAGACGTTTTGTATTTGTAAATGTGCCAATAAAGATTAGTTTGTTAACAAAAATAGACTACAGTCATGAACAAGGTCATTCCTGAAATTCTCAGAGATGGTAAGAATTGGCTGCTGTGCTTGGCAAAGAGACTCCAGATTTGTTTCCTGCTATTGCTGCTATTGGTATACATATACAATTAAACCACACCATTCCATGTCGTTGAATCTTCATTGTCCCATCTGTAAATATAATTTTCCTTTCTACAGGACCTGAAAAGATTGAGACAGTTCACAGTGCAAGATGGAGAAAGGGCTTCATGGATGGTGTGCATTTGCCACCTAGTGACCACAGTGAGTAAGTACAGTATTTGCGCATAACCACACTTTCCTAACTACTTAACACCCTGAAAAACTGTGCACATGAGTTAGCACACACTGCATTTTAGTGGTTTCTGCTGTATCCTGAAATGCAAGTAGTAATCAAATAAAATTTCACCTTTCACAAAAGCCTAGCCCCATTTCGTTTCTTTCTGGGTTTTCCAAGGCCATTCTCTAGTAATGGTCTTCATACCTGCTAATAATGTACCACCTAACAGAACTTTGAAAAAGCCACAGCTCCAAGGGTGACTATTGTTTTTAATGCCCCCCCCCTTTTCTTCTATTCCGCTGGGGAAGAGTCAAATGTCTTGCATAGACTAGGAACCTGCCCTGCCACTGAGCTACATCCCTAGCCCTTATTTTTCATTTTTACTAATGTGAGAATGCAGGTAGTTTTGTTCATGTAAATAATTAAAAATGAATAGTATGCATATTTATACCACAAGTAAAACCACACACAATGACTTGTTATCAAAACCTGTTTTTTAGTCTGAAGTGGTGGTGGTGCACACTTGTAGTTAGTTACAGTACTTGGAAGACAGAGGCAGGAGGATTTTAAGGTTTAGGCCAACATCGACTTCAGGCCAACGTCAGCTATGTAGTAAGATCCTCTTTTAAGAAAGGTTTTTAAGATGTGAATATAGAAATAGAACTATTTGAGAAGAGTAAGAGATTCTACGGAAGTGAGGGAGGTGAGAGGATAGTGGGTAAAATATGATCAAAACACAATTTATACATTTATGTGTCCATGAAAGCTATTGTGTATAATGTATACTAATGAAAAATAGAAGACAGAACCAAAAATGAATGAACTAAAAATGTTTTTCGATGATTTTTAAAAATAATAAATAAAATTTTAATAGACAACTTGAGTACTATCTTTAATTTCATGAAAACAAAGGACCCCATGATTTATGAAAGGATGTGATGGAGCAATTAATGTTTTTAATTTTTAGGAAACTCATTAGAATAGCTTTATGAATACTTATCAAATGACTATTAGATTTATTATACTTTGGTGTGTGGGCACTCATTTTAGCCCACCATCCTTAGTAAAGACTGGGAGAATTGAAATATCTAGATCAGTATGTGCACGCCAAAGCAATACTTTGAATAAGCGGCTTTCAATTTGCTGCGTACTTAAAATATAAAAATTTGAAACTACAGATTTAAAGCAATAATTTCACAGAAAATATTCAATTATAATTTAATTGGTAAAAGCACAGTTCACATCAAGATAATCAGCCAAATCAGATTTACTTTTGAGAATATCAACCTTAATTTTTTAAATGAAAAAAGCATTAATCTATATTTTTAAGTGGTTATCAAAGCCACAGAGAAATTAATTAAGGACTACTTCCTGAATGATAATAAGGCAAATATTAGATTAAAATATAGTGATGAATTTTATCCACTTGAATTAATAAATTATTTTAGTTCTGGTGTGTAGTTTTAAATTAATGTAATACATAGCTGACACTGTGATAGATGAGCCAATAAATCTGTTCCTATGGATAGCTTCCTCTGGCAAATACATATGCCTTTGCTTTTAGAACATTGATGCTGAGTTTATGGGAATTGTTGATTGTACATGGTGAACTTTACTGGACTAGAGAATTAAACTTTCAACAATATGTTATTATATAAAATGTTATATTATATGTTGTTAAAAACTAAGTAACACTTTATTTTATAATGTAATATAGATAAATTTTATATTATGAGGCAATTTTAAGATGAAATAAAAGTTGATTTTCATTGGAAAAAATATTACGCAATATGCTCAGAAAAGTTCTAGACTATTTGATTTAAAAAAATAGCATATTTTCTAAGCATAAATTTTGCCAGAATAAACATTTTTAGTGCTGGAGAGCATCCAGTTACAGTTAAAAGAATTCACTAGTGATAGATATTGCTGCTCATTTGGTTTATTCTTTTCTATTAAAAACAAATTAGTGGTTAATATTATTGATAGATGGAAATATAATTCTTAATTTTAGCATTTTGGGGTGAAATTATTCTAATGTGGGCCATTCTGGGGAGAGAATTGATATGAAGTTTAAAATCTGAGAGTAGGTTCTCTGATACCATCCCGACTCATGAAGAATTCATGCATCAGGAATCAAGACTGTCTCCCAGCAGGCTTAGTCTAGAGCAATATGTTCTTGTCACTAATGAAACAATTCGTTTACAAGACGAGCTAGTTGCCATGGTTGAATTTCTGAAAATGCTTCTATGTTTGATCTATGGAGTGCAATAATTTTGTTTGGTTTATAAATACTTGTACTGATTAAGCCAACCTCAGTCAGTATAGGAGTTATAAGAACATGTATTGACACTTAAAACATGTGATATTCTGCATGGTGATATTTTCCTCTGCTCAGCTAAATAAATACAATGAAAATTAATTTCGTTTGATTTTTAAACCTTTTCAAGTGTTGCAACATGAACGTTTAAATTTAACCCGGGAGTCACATTATATGTATTGTTGCTCTGGACCTTCTAACCTCTCAAAGCGTAAGGAAGGACAATTAGGGTCCCAGCCTAGTCACATGTTGTATATTGCTATTCTGATGTTATAAGTACCTTATTCTAGTATTTGTGATTCCTTCCTGGGGAATTTTCAGTTGTATGTAGGTAAAATTAAAGCAAAAAAAATCAGACCCCAACACGATGAAGAGTATTTGAAGAGTAATCTTTAGGTAGCGCCTAGAAAGTTTCCTAGTGTGGAATTGAGAAGGCCTCTCAGAGGTTGCACGTGAAGTATCTCAAACTTTCTAACTCGTAGAAGTGGCTGTTACATTATGCTGAAGTTTTGAGTGTCTCATTGTACCTGGAATGTTTCCAGTATAGTAAAGATGTAATGTTAGGGATAAATCCATTCGTTGGAAATTCATGAAATGTTTCCTTATCCACAGATTTGAACTTTATACCTGCTGAAGGAGCTTTATAACACTTACTTGGGAGCCAATCTTTAGGATAAGTCATAGTGTAACTGCATCCATCATGATTTTGCACACACACACACACACACACACACACACACACACACACACGGAGTGATAACTCCTAGTGTTCTGTAACTTGGCCTAGTGTCCTCAGTGTAGAATACCATTAGTTAGCAGTTATATTCTGAGTTTAGAGTTTTATTTTGATTTCAGAGTTATATTCTGATTTCATAGGTATAGAAACATTAAAAATAACATCATTGTCAGGGAAAATAGAGCTTTTTCAGTAACATTCATAAGAGAGGTAAAATAGCACCTCAACTGAAGCATCCATATACTATCGAAAAGATGATTTCTAGGTCACCTTGGCAGTACTTTATGTTTCTGATGGAGACAGTGATTGTTTATTGTATCTCACATTATACCTTCTACATTGCTGACCAAAGGGTCGATGGCCCCCTCTCTGCTCCTTAGCACCATTCAGCTTGGAAAATTCATCTTTCTAAAACTTTATGTCAGTAGGGAATTCCTGAACTCTTCTGTGAGGAGTAAGCTTGCATTCGGAAGGCTTTCCCAGTGGAACTGCGCTCTATGAAAGTCTGCTGGAAAAAAATGTGTGTGTTACGATTTTAATTATTTAATAGAACTTATGAAAACATCCTTTGTTGAATATTTAAAAGCCACCAATTACACCATATTTATTTTAGTATGTAGGGCACTTAGCTTGATTAATATAAGGCATACTTGTGGGGTTCCTGTGAGAGACAATGATCTTAGTATTAAGGTAAGTTAATTTCCTGTTGCCAAAGTAAGGATAAGTATTTCAGTCATTTGAGACTTGCTCTTAGATTTGTGTAGTAAATCTAATGTATCAAAAGACAGGAAAGGAAATAAGTCTTTATCGTGCACCTGATCAAATAGATACAGACTGCTTATTTTTCTTTCTCTGTACCACTTGCTTATTTGTTGAAACATGAGCCTGTTTCAAATGCAAATGATTAAATAGATTATTCTCTCCTCTACACCAAAACACATAGAAAATTAGATTGTGATGTCCTGGAAAGGGCCAAGTGGTACATAAAGTATCTGCTGTAGTAGTTGTGTTGAGAACTTTAAAATCTGTTTCTCTACATTCCCCTTATTTGTTCCTTAGTGGGAGTGACCATGAAGCCTCCTTTCGTTCTTCATACCTCCCTCATCACCACACTGTTAAGAGCGAACATCACGAGCTGGCAAACAGATTAGTCACGAATATAGCATTTTGTTTGGTTTCTAGATTTTTAATCTTTTGAAAAATTGCTATTGGATACATACACACACACATATAGGATACAGTATGATTTTTGGTATACCTTCACATTGTGAAATGATTATATTAAGCTCGTTAGCAAATCTCCTATCTCACGTAATTATACTTTGAGGTGAAAACATTTGCAATCTCTCAGAAGCAGTTTTATAACACAGCAGGCTGTTACTAATTGTGGTCTCCATGTAGTGTAACACATCCTTAAAGCTTTTTCTGTTTACCCTGAAGCTTTCTTCCCTTTGACCAACATCTTCCTTTTCCATTTCTTCTAGATCACATTAAATTTGTTTAGTATAATGAACTAGAATGTGATATATTGTGTGTCTAATAAATACTAGTTCATCCATTGTACAATGTAGAGCTATAATTTGGCATTCTTGTGTTGCATCTAGCTGGATGAGTGCAGAATTCAGCATGTGAGATGACTTTTTGAGTCTGGTCACATTCCTGGTGGATTTGTACAACCAGCACTTGTCACAATGGCTATTTACCTAGAATTGTACAATCAGCCATCTACACAAGGGTTCAATTAAATATGATGATAGAAATGCTGCCAAGTAAATATGATGATGGAAATGTATCTGTGGAGGCTATTTACTACTGAGGATGCTCTACTAAATGAATCATGTAGTTGCTGAGAGCTACAAACAATATTTCTCTTGCATTGTGCCATATTCATGATTAATATTCTACTCTTTTGCCTCAGACACTTCCTTGTATACA